AACAAGTTCATTATACTGCGAACTGGCGGGAGGGGTTTAAAATGTTTTCTTCCCTTAGGCGGTTATCATCGTTATCATGATTAATTCATCGGGGCATGCCTTACAACGCCACAGATTGATTAATTTATCAAGGCATGCCCTCACAACGCTAGAGGTGCGATGATTGGATATTTTTGTGTTTGTTTATTATGTGTTTTGTTGGGGTAACCAGTTCGCGGTATTTTAAACTCTCAAAGTAAATTGTTTTTTTGAAGTAACCAATCACTTAGATCATGATATAATTTGACATAATGTAAACTCTTTGTTTGAATCGTTGATAAAGTGTGGCAATTATTAATCTCCTGTAAATGTTGTTAACTGTTATTAATAATCAAATAAGTAAACAAATCTCCTTTTGGCAGTTTGACAATCAAAGTTCCGTTTCTGTATTATCTTAAGTCACATGTACGCAGCTGTAAGTTCATCAAGTCTGGCTTGATTGATTACCAGAAACTGAAAATTAAAATCTAATCTTTTCATCTCGAAATATGTTGATTTTGTAAATTATTGTACAATTGTCCCGTTCAGTTAACTATTTTTCAAGCTTGGTTGGCCAGTATAGAGCTGTATAAGCGGCACTTTAAAATATTTTTGCATCTTGTAGACCAGTTATCTTCTATTTTGCCTGATTGCATTCCTCAAAATCATTTTTTTTAACTTTGAATAATTCAAGAAAGTAAACAAATTTGCAGTTGGCAGTTGGACAAGCAAAGTTCCGTTTCTGTATCATCCTTAAGGCACATTTACACAACTGTAGGGTCATCAAGCCGGGCTTGATTAAAATTACCAGAAACTGTAAAAATGGAAAAAGATACGACTGATTTTGGCAATCATATACCCTCAAAGCAAATAAAGGGCGAGTGAGTGGGGCTAATATTTGTAAAGATAAGATTGATTTTGACAAATGATATACCCTCTAAGAAAATAGAGGACGGGTGGGCGGGGCTTCTATTTGCTAAGATACGACTGATTTTGGCAAATCATATACCCTCAAAGCAAATAAAGGGCGGGTTGGTGGGGCTAGTATTTGTAAAGATAAGACTGATTTTGACCAATGATATATCCACCCTATCTTAGGAAGTACTAGCCCCGCCCACCCGCCCTCTGTTTTCATGGTGGTTATGTCATTGGCCAAAAATTTCGTCTCCTTTCTGCTGCAATAAATTTCGGTAGCACTATTTTTTTATATAAAATTAATGACTGAAATAGAGGCGGGTGGGTGGGTGGGATTTATTATCTGTTCCTTAGAGTGGGAGTGGTAACTGATAGAAATAAGGCTGTAAAAAAACCGCTAATCGTAGTTACAAGAGCTAGCCCCACCCACCCACCCTCTATTTTCTTAGAGCTATGTGACTTGCAAAATCAGTGTTATCTTGACAAGTACTAGCCCCGCCCACCCTCCTTCTACTCATTCTAGCGACTAATTTTATTTCTGTATATGATCCACCTTTTATTCAGAGCAGAAAAAAATAATCACCGAAATGGAGGCGGGTGGGTGGGCGGGGTTAGTTATATGTTCTTCTGTAAAGTGGGAGTGGTAAGTAATATAATATACAATTTTGAAGATTTCATAAAAAAATTAATTCTAAGAGAAAACAGGGAAAAAAGAGGGTGGGGGTGCGACATATACGTCAAAAGAAGGGCACATTGAGAAAAATTGAGGTATACATAGAAAGGGACAAAAAAGTAAGACTGATTTTGTCCAATGAAATACCCTCCATGAAAAGGGAGGGCGGGTGGGCGGGGCTAGTACTTCCTAATATACGACTGATTTTGGCAAATCATATATCCTCAAAGCAAATAAAGGGCGGGTGGGTGGGGCTAGTATATGTAAAGTAAGACGGATTTTGGCCAATGATATACCCTTCATGAAAAGGGAGGGCGGGTGGGCGGGGCTAGTACTTTCTAAGGTACGACTGATTTTTGGCCAATGATATATCCACCATATCTTAGGAAGTATTAGCCCCGCCCTCCGTTTCCATGGTGAGTATGACATTGGCCAAAATAAGTTTTATCTTTACAAATAGTAGCTCCACCCACCCACCCGTTATTTGCTTTGAGGGTATATGATTTGCCAAAATCAGTCGTATGTTAGGAAGTACTAGCCCCGCCCACCCACCCTTCGTTTTCATGGTGGATATACCATTGGCCAAAATCAGTCTTCTCTTTACAAATACTACTTTTGAACTTAGAGTAATTCAAGTAAGTAAACAAATCTCTTTTTGGCAGTTGGATAGGCAAACTTCGGTTTCTGTATTATACTTAAAGCACGTTTACACAACTATAGGGCCATCATGCCGGGCTTGATTAAAATTACCAGAATTTGTAAAACACTAAAATGTAGTCTTTTCGTGTCGAAATATGTTTATTTTGTAAATTATCGTAAACTTGTCCCATTCGATGCATTATTTTTCAAGCTTGGTTGGCAAATGTAGAGTTGTATAAGTGGCACTTTAAATTTTTTTTATATCGGCTAGACCAGTTATCTTCTATCTTGCCTGATGGCATTCCTCAAAATCATCTTTTTGAATTTTGAATAATGAAGTAAGTAAACAAATCTCCTTTTGGCAGTTTGACAATCGAAAGTCCGCTTCTGTATTATCGTAAGTCACATTTACACAGCTGCAAGTTCATCAAGTGTGGCTTGATTAATTACCAGAAAGTGTGTAAATTAAAATCTGTTCTTTTCGTGTCGAAAATCGAAATATGTTGATTTTGTAAATTATCGTAAAATTATCCCGTTCGATGGTCTATCAAACCTTGCAAATTTTAGTTGAATATCCACACATCCATAGCAACGAAAATTTCAGTGGTAGTCCGAATTTTTAGATTTTTTACTTTATTCGTGTTGTCAATGACAGTGTGAATAAAATGTTGCTATAAACATTTTATTCATCTTTTCGATTAAACTATTGTTTTAATAGCGAGATTTAACATACAAAATGAGCATTTTATTAGTAGGAATTGGAAAAATTAATTTTATATACCCACAATCGCTGTTGAGCACCGCTAAAGCTACTTTATTTTCCGCGATTTTTTTAATTTTCGTTCCAAACGAAATAGAGACACTTTTTTATATGCTATTTTCCCTTTACTAGCGCCCGTTTTTATGAATATTGTCATAAATTTACCATCGTATCATTTCAAGATAACGAAACGTTGAAAGTGACTTCGATTATCATGTTTAACAATGTACTTACCGCAATCTAACAAAGTTAAATTACTGCACTGCTGCAAGGATGTTCAAAGTACTTTTTGCACTTGTACGACAAACACGTAGTACCTCATTTGTACAAAAATGAATACACTGCTAAGTATTTTCAAAAGGGTATACTGACAATTATTTTACATTTCGCACATAACTGCTTTCGTTGTAGCCCCATTCAAGACGCTTTTTTTCCACAGTGGGCACCCTTCATCACAATATCGAAAATTTTGAAGGTCACTTACCTTTAACGCTACTAAGTGACGACGAAAATGTGATGAAGCAAACGGGTAAGGAATTATTTTGGAAAAAATTGTACACAGCATGACTTAATATTTGCTATTCATGTGCTGCGAGGTCAACTTTGTTGTCATTGTTTGTTTCATAATCTAGTGGCCCGTTTGACTCGGGAGCAGATATCTCCCTACGTCAGAGATATGGAAAAAGAGGGAAAGTACAAACAGTCCATAATAGACGCACTGTTTAGTAATGGCGTAAAAAACATTTTCCATCACAAAGTGGATTATTTTAATACCACGTTTACAGTTAATGGGGATCGAAATTGGCACCGAATATGGAGGTGCCGCGTGTAATTTTATGACCACAATATTGACCATTGAGGAAATTTCGAAAGTGGATCCCGCAGTTGCTGTGTTCGTGGAAATTCAGAACACTCTTATAAACAACGTGATCAAAAAATTGGGAACCAATGAACAGAAAAAAACGTATTTGCCCCAATTAGCATCAAACATGGTACGTATGTTCAATTTCGCTGAAAATCGTCTAGTGACCTTCTAGAGCGGTAGTTTCGCCCTAACTGAATCCACAGCCGGTTCCGACGCGTTTTCCTTAAAAACAACCGCCACAGCAGACGGCTCCGATTTCCTCCTCAATGGGTCCAAAATGTGGATATCCAGCGCGGACATAGCAGGACTCTTCCTGGTAATGGCCAATGCGAACCCTTCAGCGGTAGGTACACCCTCCAACTCTACCCCATCTAAACCCACAACCCTAGGGGTACAAAGGCATCACTTGTTTCCTAGTCGACAGAGACACCCCCGGTCTTACCATAGCAAAACCAGAAAAGAAGCTCGGCTTGCACGCTTCTGGTACTTGCACGGTCAATTTCGATAATGTCCGAGTACCCAAAACCGCCATCCTGGGTGAATACGGCAAAGGGTACAAAATCGCCGCTGGATTTCTAAACGAAGGTCGAATCGGCATTAGTGCGCAGATGATAGGGTTGGCGCAGGGGTGCTTCGATGCCACTATTCCGTACCTTCTGGAGAGAACCCAGTTCGGAAAACCGGTTTTTAGCTTCCAGGTACTTCAGGTTTGATTGTGGGTAGTGGTGGTACTCATTTTGGGTTTCTGCAGGGTATGCAACACCAAATTGCTGTTGTAGCAACCCAAATTGAGGCTGTCAGAATGCTGGTATATAACGCGGCTCGACTGGTAGAAGCCGGCGAACCTTTTACTATGCAAGCTGCAATGGCTAAGTGGTACTCAGCCGACGTTGCCCAGCAAACTTGCGTCAAGTGTATAGACTGGATGGGAGGTGTTGGGTTCAGTCAAGATTTTATCCAGGAAAAGTTCTACCGGGACGTGAAAATCGGGAGCATTTATGAGGGGACGTACAACATCCAGCTAAACACGATTGCCAAACATTTGGAAAAGTTGTACAAACAATAAAATTTAACCTCAAATTTGATAATTAAAAATGGCGACTTGTGTTCTCACCAACGAAAGAAAACACTTCTCATCTCTTGTTCTTTATTACACCACTATATATTTTACAATATGTGTTACTACTAAACCTAGACATTATTTTGGATCATGAGGTAGTTTAAACCCAACTAAATTGGCCGTTTCGCGCACGGTTCTTTCCCCTTTCCCGTGAAACTCGTCGTGTATTTCCTGCTGCAAGCGCAAGCTTTTTAAATAACACAAGTAAGTATTAGCCATGAACTCCATCTCCTCCCTGGCCTTACACAACTGCTCACTCGTGGTTTTGTGTTTTCGGTACTGACTTAAAATATACTGAAGGCTCAAGTTATTTTTTAAGGAACTTGACGGAAGCGCGTAGCGCAACTCCGATATAATATGTCTCAAAGTGTTTACTTTAGAAGCCATACTACCCAACTTGTCTCGAATCTGCAGAAATAAGTGAAAATCATGCGTCTGTTATCAAATCAACTTCGTTAGTGATAAGTTCAACGTCATCCTTTGAGTACTTTGGCTCGGGATGCAACGACCAAAAATCGTCCGACAACAATTTGAGTTTAGTCCATGGGAAAACGTGGATGGCGGTATCATTGAAAATTTCGTACAACCGGAACGAGTTTATGAGGGCGAGCTCTACCATATGTGGAACGATTTTTACTATGTATTCGGCCGACTTATTTAAATCGCGATTAGGGGTGATGTCTACGATTGTGTTGAAACTGTTGGCCACTATGACACAGTAGTGTAAATTTAAGCCCCAATTTGCCCACAGGAGATTATTAGTCAACTGTCTTGGACAATGCGGCAAGTAAAAAATCCGTGTACACTTATCCGTGACTCTAAATTTAGCCCCAAAATTTTCCTTAATAACAAAACAACCGAACTGCTCTAGCAACCAACAATCGACCTCTGTAAACACAGGGTCGTACACTTTAACCCCAACGTTATAAAAATCCTTTAAACACAGTAAGAAAGCAAATTGGAACCTCGAAATCATAGACTCACCCACTCTCCCCAAACCGAAACAAATAATTTCAGTTACTACAGACTGCGATAAAATTTCTGTACCTTCTCGTAGTGATGCAAGCGCCGAAGCCAACAAGTCTGACGACTTTACTTCTAATTTTGCGTCTTCAATTCGTCTGGAAAATTTTAGGTTAGGAAATGGCAAGGACTTTGTCTAGTTTCTACCAACCTTACAATTGCATCCCTGGGTGGCAAATTCGTATCCGCACAAGCTTTGTTCGTCTGAATTGGCGATTTTGTTGATTTTTTCTCACGTTTGTAGGTTATGAGCTTAAAATCGTCGTTCGAACCGTGGCTTTTGTTCGACATTGTTCACGTTTTGGTTTTGATACATTTGTTTGGTTATTTTGGTGAATAACTGGTTGCATATCTTTGAAGATTACTAAATGAATAAACTGTATACACCGAGTGGATCAATAATATTGCACATTTCAGAAAATTTTGTAACGACTGCACCCAATCAGAAACGAGTCCTTCAAAATGCACTAAACCGCGAAATTCAAATTTTAAATGTAAAATACAATTCATTTGTAAAATAAAACAAAATGATGGTGAGTAAAACTCAATATATTTTTCTTTCTAAAGCTATAATGCTCTTAGTCACCCTGTCAATAGGCAGTCCGTTTAAAACAGCGTGAAACTGCTTACACGTACCGATTTGATACCGACTTATCACATATTTCCTTGCAACGTTCCTACTTAATTCTACTAAAAACGGAACTTCACACATTTCGCTCACTTTTCGTTTCAGTTCTAGATCTTCGGACGTCGATAAACACATTTCTTTCAATTTTGGGTGATTAAAATAACAAAGTAAGTCAGATACTGATAAAACATCGTCACAACAATCTTCAATACTTAAACTCAAGTCATAATATAGCCGCACGGACGAAAGAATGTCTTGTTCGTGTACAGAAATCAAGTCCATATGCAGCATAGTTTTGAATAAATCGCAAAAACCGTAATGCCGATACACAGTGTCTAAATCTTTTACAGAAACGTCAAGTCCATATGAAAGCATGACGAAGATTCGTTTCTGGATTTCGTCTTCTAGATCAGCGGACGCAAATTCTTGTAAGTAGCGTGACACTGTGGACGTTGAAACTGTAGAATGGATGAATTTAGACACGTTTTTACTGGATAAAAGAGTGTCTAGAATTTTGAACATTTCTTGCTTGTTGGTACTAGTTACTTGTTTTAGCACCACGTCGAACAAATCAGTCATATCTAGCAAATTTTCCACGACATAGTCGAATTTTTCCAATAATAGTTTGACGTGTTTGTCTTTAAAATCACCCAAGTATTTGCAAAAATAGTCAACGTCGTCTTCGTCACAACTAACGTTGAGGGCATTTTTGACGAGTCTCAAAAATAGGGGAGAGTCTCTCCACATTGCTGCCACTAGAGTAGAAAGCGAAACTGAAACCAACGGACTATCAAAAGTGTGAGCGTATAGAATGTCCCACAGCACATTTTGATCATCTTGTTTTGACTGTTCAAACAGAACACACACAGGTGTCACTCCTGCGCTAGTACTCAGAGTGGCGTTGGCTCCATAGTACAACAACATATAAATCCATTTCTGGTTGCCTTCCTGGCATGCCAAATACAGCGGTGTCACGCCAGCATCGTCTTGACAATCCACATCGGCCCCAGTTTCAATCACCAACTGCCCTAGTTTCACATTATCGACTCTTTTGGCACGTGCCGCTAGGTGCAAGAAGCTGTAGCCGAATTTGTCCTTCACGTGGACGTCAGCGCCATCTTCGAGCAGCTTTTTACCGAATTTGTGGCTGTTGGGACCTGTGGCTAGGTCCATTAGTAGGGTGCGACCATCCTCCCCGATTTGGTTAATGTCAAAATCGTCACGGTCTACAATGGAACAGAATTTTTTGTAACTGGAAAAAAATAAGTTAGAAAAATGAGACTGCGAGGTTAGAAGTTAGAACTTTTTCTGGCTGACGGCATAGTAGGCGGCGAAAGTGTAGCTATAGTTTAAACGTATGTCGTATTCGTCGTCCTCCATGGCGTCTGGAATCAATAAATAACACAAATTTATTAATTGGATTGGTTATTCAATTTTTAGTAGGGGAAGTGGGGTACTATTACCCCAGCTGCTATAAACTACTTGTTAAGCTAAGACTGTTCTAGTATTACATATTTACCTTTTTTATTTGTTGTAGTAGTGACATTAATAATTATACGGTAAAGACAACTAGACTTTGTGCTTCAAAAATATACTAGAAAAGCAAATTTCTGTACTAAGTTCAACTAGTCGTTAACAGATGGCGCAACAAAATGAATTTGCATACAAAAAAAATTATCTAACACTTCTATCAGCCACTTTCCACTTTATCTCGTGCGATAAATAACTAAGTTATGACACAAAATTTAAATTTAAATTAATAGTGTGAATTATTCTAGTTTTTTCTTAAAATCAAAAATATGTAGTTACCCCTTCTAAAAAACTGCTGACGTAAAAATGAATGTATTAGACTAATAAACAATATTAGAAACTTACCTTTTAAAATAAAATTGACAAACACACTGTTTTTCCACTTTTATATTTTTAACCTTTAATTTAAAAAGTTTATTGTAGCACGTGTGATCGACCCACTGTTCTGTTTGTTAGTGTGATATTTGTCACTATTGATCCACTCATGTTGATAAAAACACTACAATGTTTCGCAATTTGGTGTAATACTTTAGATACAGGTGTGTTTTAAAAGAATACAGGAGGAGAATAAAAAAAAAATATCCACATATAATCTCTCACAAGGTAACAAATAAAATAAAATATGTGTAATTATAAACTGATCTTGTGTGTATTTAACCTTTGAACCATGACTGACTGTTTACTAATACAATGAGTACTGAATGCACCTACACCACATCCACCTAAATATACAATTTCGACTTTTGCTGTGTAAAACGTACTCAGCCAAAATCCGCCAAAATATTTGACACTATGAGATATTACACCCAACCAAAAATTACAATAGTCTAATTAACCCCACTGGTACCAAAACTGGGACTGGGTCCATGTGGAGGGGAGCGCGCCATGAATCAACTTTCTTCAGAGAACAAGATTTATTTCTTTTACGGTATGTACAAAGTTATTCATATAGGAACGGCGTGGTGGGAGTGGAAAGAGAGAAAGAGACTGGAGAATACAACAGTCTGTGATGTGATGGAAGTATGGAAGTAGATTTTTAGGGCGTCTGGTGTTGTGCAGACGTGTTGTGCCGTGCTGTTCGTTCGGTTTCTTCGAACAAATCCACACAATACGGACTCTTTGCTCATTTTTTATTTGGATACTTTGTTCCGTTGCTGTGTTTGTGGTAAGTGGGGTTTTATTTTTTGCGTGTAGGTACTTCCTGACCTACCGTACTGTAGGCCAGTGGTGTGGAGCACGTGGATTACGCTGGTTATTGGAGGCTGGGTTCCATACGTGCCAAATCAGGTGGTAAAGCTGGACGTATTTTCATGTGCATTTTTCAAATGCAAACGGTCCGCGATAAATTAGCATAACTTTGCTTAAGGTGTAATGTCAAGGAACAATCGATTTTATTAGTCTATAAAGTCAACAAGTTTTTTTTAATTGGATTCACCGAGCAAAATTTGAGTTGACGTCATTAATTCTCGGTGGGGATGAAAAAATCAGAGGTTATCAGAAATTTGATCAGTTTCTGCATAAACTTTACCCCAGAAACATCCGCTGTCGAAACATCCTTTAGAGATTGCCGCCAATTATAGCCGCAATAAAAACACAAAGACAAAACCGCAGTCTAGCATTTAAATTAGCCTCAAGATCCTAAAATGTAGCCCCACCACGCCCTCCCACTCGTGCATTTAAATAAGGACACTGTCTATTATTGGCCATTTTAAAATTTTTATAGTGTGAACGGGATTTAATTTGATAATTACCCGCCATTTTTGTATTATTGACAGACTAAACACTACGTATCAAGTAATGAACCCCGGAATGCGCTTATTTATTTACTTGACTCACTTTCTCATAATTGACTAGTGTGACGCTAAATCGTCATTTTCTCGAGTCATAAACTTCCAAAATTTCTACAATGACCAATTATCAGACCAGAACACAAAAACTGGGACACTGGGTAAACACACACATGGTATTAAGCATTTAGTTTTCACTTTTGGTGACTCATATCAGTGATCAAAGTTTTATGCTTATTCAGATATGCGTTCTTATATCTTTATTAGGAAATTTTCAAAACTGATTCATTGTTGTTGGTGTACTTATGTAACACAGTCTTACAGTTATCTTAGTTTAACAGTGTAATTACAATGCAGAAGAAAGCGTGAACACACGAAAACGGTTCGATATATGAACCTCAAAATTTTTAAATTAGAGATAATTCCGTTTTCCGTTAGTTTTATGCTTCCTGTGTGAAATGTACAATTATGTTTGTACATTGGAGTTGGTAAAAGTTCCCCGCAAGACAATACGTGGTTAATACCGGTGAATTGAAGCGTATATTGGATACACTGTTGAGATTAAATCGTCTTGTCACATTTTCTAACCTTACATTTAAAACAACTAAGGAAATTTTGACTAATCTGTCTTGAGCTGTCAGAATTTACCAACTTGACACGAAAAGTTACCAAAATCGAGTTCCAAAAGTGCGAAGTCCTTTTTCAACCAATATAAAAAATGAAAATAAATTAACTGAGCTGAAAGAACACTTTAATGGGCCATAATTATAATAGCATGGCGGTAGTTTCTTGGAGCCAAGTAATAAAATATTAATAATGAAATGCTATAACCGCCCGTTGTTGTTACTCCAGGAATTCATAAATCACTCTTGAGAAGAAAATCCACGTAGTTGTTTTTTAACGACGAAGTTAAATTACCCCGGTTCCAGTTATAGAAAATGGAAACTGATTATAGTAGAACCACTTACGAGTCGACGAAACGATAAAGCTCGCTTCGCTCGCTCTATAATTTCCATTAGTAATTTATTAGCACAGATATTCTCAACTTTCAAGATTCAGCTTCCACAAAAGTGCTAATGTGTACTAAACCTTATCAGAGCAAATAAATTAAATTTTCATGTTACACTAGGTCATGCGTCGTGTTTACATTCATTAGCACCACATTTTTACTTCCTTGATGACCATATCTTGCGTGTTTAACACACTTGTAATCAAAAACCTAATTAATCAAGTGGATGTCTTGATAAATTTATAGCACCATGGCAATCGTAAATTGCTCTCTACTTTTTGTGGTCAAAATCCGCTACGTGGACAGAATAAGATGGAGGCGGTACGGTACAGGTACCATATTGCAGCATAACAAATGGCTCGTAACACAACATAACAAGTAAATAGTGATCAGAATTATTGCGAGAGTCAGTCAACCGTAAATACCTACATATTCACGCCCGCAAGGTCATTGGACTCTGGTCTATCGGAGACAAGCATTTCTTATTTCTATCTATCGCTAGTTGCTAGTTGGGGCCTCAGTGAGATGCTGTGGTGCGTACCGATGTTGCTCTATTGTAAAGCAACCTTTAGTCGACTACAATCCGGTACTAATTTAGACTCATCCCTACCAGCAATTGGGTGACGTCATCGCACATTTTGCTAATCCACCCTGTGACCTTTTTAACTGTGTTAATTTTTGACGTCTTTAGATTATATCTTCACGATTGAAAAATAACCTTACACACGTATTGTGAAAGAATAAGGTAATTAATTATGCATTATAATAATAAATTACGAAACGGTTCTCAGATTGAGCAAAGGAGAGATATATTGATAAGAAAAACGCAGGATGATGCAAACTCCTAGAACTGCATTTTATATTATAACATCGTCCATGACATTTGCACCAAGGCACTTTATTTACAAACAATTTCTGCCATGAAACCTTTGGTGAGCCGACCGCTAACAGTAAAAATTCGTAGCTTTCGTTAAATTATAGACAAATGCCATGTTATTAAGTCACTTAATGGGAAACGTGTGGGTAGGGTCCATCGACTGGTTGGTAATTTTTCGCGTCACACCATATTAAAACCACCTTTTCGTGTGTGAAACTGCCTTAACTGTAAAAATTTTAGCCACCACTGTAATGATGGTGCTTAATTATAATAATTATTAATTAGCTTTGGAAAGTAATGACAAGGTTTCGAAAGAGTGGGTCGTTGAATTTCAATTTGTCGCAAAAAATGCCTGCCAGTAAGCATCAAACACAAAAATAAAAGTGAAAATACCTAATGAACCACATATGGCGCTGATTATCACTGAATTATGGACAATAAAAAAAGTGAAAAGTCTGCTTTCGATAGTCAACCGTTTCTTAAGAAGTGAAATTACTTATTTTAATCGGATCGGATGATTGATGGGTGTATGATAGTTTGGCTTGCGGTCGCCGGTGTGTGTCGTCAAGGTTGACAAAGAAAGGTTGGCGTTCCACTCGACGTTGTTTAAAATATGGAAATATTAACGCATCTATTTTTAGCAAACTTAAAATTCTTTAGATATATCTTCAATAAATAAAAACTTGCGTCGGGCCAACGAACCAATGTCTGCACGTGTTTAAAGGTACGGGGAAAATTGCGTTCGCAGAAATTTGGTGCTGATATTGCTTGAAAAACGTAAATGTTTTATTTATACACACCTGGTGGTCGAAAAAACTATTAAATGTTACAAGTCCAGCGGCTCGGCAAGTTTAAAAGGAAAGTTGTGTCGGCTTCCTCTGTTTAGCCTTGAACTTCTAAAAGTATGATACAATCTATTTAGTTATTATGTATGCATCCTACTTAGCTGTACGGTTTCTTTCGGTTTGGGATAGTGTGAGGCGGGTTTCGGATGAGAGTTTGGATTGGTTTATTGGTACAATTGGCTTATCGACATATGTATAAATAACCAACGAGTTAATTATATTTTTTCTATTTTTTGATACATAACTCATTTATTTTAATTCCTTAAAAAAATTTTCGAACGAAAAAATCGTAGTATGGTTAATTTAGAAAAAAATTGAATACCAGACGTTTTGAAAGAGCTTCAAAAATATGTACTGTAATTTTCAAATTGTCAAAATTTAGTTTTTTCACAAACATTGTGTTTTATTACTTAGTTTCTTAAAATCACTGAAAAATAGGTAAGCCAGAACTCGTGAAAAAGTACAGGGTGAGTCACTAAGTATACGTCCTCGATATCTCATTAATTATTATTTATTAATGATAAAATCATTATTTTTAGGTGTAGCACACATTTATTTCATTTCATTTTCATTACCCTCTTCTTAGGCTTTATAACTATGATTTATTTTTAAAATTTCGACGCGACGTTGCCACGTTATTCCAATTTGTTTTTTAGGAATACAAGGGAAAAACAGAAGCACACGCTTTATTGTGGTATCAAGTAAATTAAATTGTAATATACAGAGTGCTTATAAAAAATTCTGAAACGACATCTTGTGTTGTAGTACTCATTTTGCTAAAACAACTAGTAAAATAGGAAGAACTTATTAACATTAGTGATGGAAAATACTTTATAAAAACTAAATTGAATAAAAGTAATAAAATAATCAGTGAAATGGAGGTGGGGTGGGTGGGCGTGATTAATTATATATTCTTCTGTAGAGTAAGAGTGGGAGCTAATAGAACCTAAGCTATAAAGAAGATAAAAAAGCGTCAATTACCGATTGGTAAATGACGATTATTTTATTTTTATTAAAATTTTATTAAGTACTAGAGAATGTCATTTGCCAAAATTTGTATTTCCTTAGCAAGTGCTCTTAGCAAGTACTAGAAATTCTCAAAAATAGGCCTAAATTTTCATAAGAGGGTAGTTATTTAGAAATTTTGCTTTTGAAAAAGTTGCCGAAAAATTCTCAAAAAATTCTGTAATACAGATTTCGGCGTCCTGATTCCAAAAATATAGCGCATTTAAAGCCCAGCTGGAAGATTTTGGAATTATACGGCTTGAAATCAATTTTTTTTTAAATCTTAAAAATTGCTGCATTTCAATTGGAATTTTTGAAGAAATAGGCCCAAAAGTAGCTCCTGGAGGCCAAAATCTACAAGAAACTGTCTTTGGTTGAATTTCGAAAATGGCCAAGACGGGGCCGAAATTTTGCTGTTGAAAAAGTTGCAAAAAAACTGTCTTTGGTTGAATTTCGAAAATGGTCAAAAATAGGCCGAAAAATTCTCAAAAATCTGTTTGACAGATTTCGGTGTCGTGATTCCAAAAATATAGCGCGTGTAAGGCTCCGGTGCAAACTTTTGGAATTGTTCGGTTTGAAATCCAATTTTTTTGAAAAATCTTAATTCAATTATTACAGATTCTGTGCAACCGATAGGAATTT